CCAAGGTGAATAAGATAAACTGAGTGTCAGTTTGATCTTATAGGTTATGAGTTTAATATCAATAAACACTAATCAAGCTATTAGGGTTTGACAGTTTGCCATACCCTAGGCTCAATAGTTTGACATGGTTTGACGAAGAGACCGGACTGTACGGTATTATCATTGAGTGGTCCTGATAAAATTGGATAAGCATCTTGCAGACCTTTATCACAACTTATACCCGGGTGGTCTTCATGTGTAGCTAGCACCTCTGTTGTACTTATGGATATGATCCACTACCGAGTTTTTTAAGTTGGGCCCTAGAGTCACACCAAGCGCGTACTTGAATCCTATGAAACACAATTTATGGAGTGATGCGTATGATTGATACGCATATATGATTTCTTCCGGATACACATAAACGGTTATGTATATCGGTAAAATCGGAATGCTATGTGCTTAGGAAATGAATTCCAGTATTTTTCCCATAAAGTTAACTTTTAGTCAACTAGTTGACTTTTTGGTCAACAGTTGACTTTTGGTCAACTCTTGATTTATTTGGTCATATAGTGACTAATTAGTTAAAGATTAGAATAATACTATATACCGTATTTATGAAATACTGTATTAGTGATAATAATTTGGTATTCTCATTTATGAAATACACATACCATGTATAATGAGTCATGAGATGAGTCACTTAGTGGTATGGTTTGAGCACATGGTTTATTAGCACATGGTTTTGGAATGTAATGATTCATAAGATGATTCATTGCATGACTCACTTGATTAATCATTATTTTTTGATGATTCATTGCATGACTCATGATTAATCATTATTTTTTGATGATTCATTGCATGACTCATAGGATGAGTCATTCATATCATGAACACATTTCACTCTATAAATATGAGCTCTTTTTCTTATGGAAAGGTTAATGGAAAATTGGCTAAGTGTTGTTTTCCATAAGAGAATAAAAGAGAGCTCTCCTCTTACTAAACTTTAGCAATCTTTGAGTAAGAGGAAGTAGTAGGATTTTAAGAACCCCGGGGTGGATATCTTGCCTTGTGTCTTAAGAAGACTCCCATTTTATCAAGCTCACTTGAAGACTTGGAGATCCACTACAAGGAGATTTTCTACTACAAGGAGCAAGAGCTAGGGGTTATTCGATCTTCCATCGAATCACGCTACGAAAGTATGACTTTCTAACTCTTGTATGCTCACTTAATAATAAGGATCATGTTAGATTTAATTAGACGATCCATATGAATATTTCATGCTCTCTACATGCTTAGTTTTTTTGTACATACATATCTTCCGCTGTGTATTATGCATGTAGACATAGCACGATTTCCTTCATATACGTGGTTCAACAATTTGCCTACGTCCACGGGGAGAGGGTGAGAAGATTCCACTAAATCAAGGAGAGTATAAAAGGGTTACAATCACACAAAATCACTCAAACTAACCCTCAACCAAAGCTCTCAACTTGCTCACAATATATCACTCAAACTAACCCTCAACCAAAGCTCTCAACTTGCTCACAATATCTCCCTCTCACAATGCTCAATAGCCTCTCTGAATCTCTCAAATAAACTTGCTCACAATATCTCCCTCTCACAATGCTCAATAGCCTCTCTGAATCTCTCAAATATCTGATGTTTTAACCCTAGAAAATCGTGTCCCTATTTATATCCAAACAGAAACCCAAACAGAGTCCAAACAGGAAACCAACCTGTGCAAAAAACCCATCATAAGTCGACTTAACAGGTGCTATAAGTCGACTTGGCAAAGAGAAAAACAACAACTGGAGAACAGTTCGTAAGTCGACTTAACATGCTTCACAAGTCGACTTGACAGAGCGGAAAAATTGCAACTCCAGAGCAGAACGTAAGTCGACTCGTGCACAGACACAAGTTGACTTACCATAAGTCGACTTATGCCTGTGCATGAGTCGACTTATGACAGAAAAACTAGTTTTTTTTTTTGGTTTTCTCCACAAAACAAACCGCACAATATTGACAATCATGTGTTGTGGGCTTAGTGGTTACCACATTTTCAAGTATTATAGAAGGGCAGGGTTTGAATCTCTAGCCAAATGGCTAGCTCAGAGAAAGTTAGATCTCAATCATTCAAGTGGTCTTGAGTTGGAATCTCATCCCAACATATTTACCAGGGTGAGATTCAAACCCTGCGTTTCCCATACATGAGTTATAGGTTAATGTTGTAACCATTAAGCCCACCACACGGGATTGTCAATATTGTGAATGTTGTAACCATTAAGCCCACCACACTGGATTGTCATTATTGTGTGATTTGTTTAATATAAACTTTAGCCTAATTCTAAACTACACTTTCAATCCCGTGCAATTTAATTTCCTGCTAAACTACACGAGATTCTCAATCCCGTGCAGTTTTCTCATTTATTTATTAGTTTCGATCTAGTTTCAGCCAGGTGGTTGAAACTGTGTCGAAATTGATAATTAAGCGCAAATAAGTTTTTAAAATGGTCGAAAATGAAAATTTGTTCCATAAACTGGAATGTTGGAGGGGCAGCTATGTGATATTAAGAGCTACGGCCTGCATCGCCGAGGAGGGTAAACTTTAGTGGCACATCTGGCATTAGTGTCTATGCGTACGAATTTTTTTCACAATCTTCAAATGAGTTGGGACCTATATACTGGGTACGCTTCTGTGGCTACTCTAGGCTCCTCCATTTCCAGCATGATCATTATTCATCACATGAGAAAAGGGGCGAAATTATCGCAGTCATATTTATTCAGGGAACCCCCGGCTCGTGATACGTATGGAAAAGGTTTGAGGCAAAGTGCAGGAGAAAGTCTGACCACAGTCGCGGCTGTTGGACATTTGCCCAAAATTAGCGTACGTGAGCAGCGGTAGGGCTAAGGGTTGAGGGTAGAGAAATGATAGAGGCACACTCTTTACCATACCTTCAACCACACCTTCCCTCCTGCTACAGTGCACCAGGGCCCACTTGAGATTTATAATTTAAATCTCAAGTGGGCCCCGGTACACTGTAGCAAGAGTGGAGGTGTGGTGGAGAATGTGTCTCTAGTGTCTCTCGGGTAGAGAAATGTTGGGTATCAGGGTTAAGCGTACTTTTGGAGTATGTGGCGCTTTAACAGAGCAAGTGCAATGAGCAGTCGCTATGAGAGCCACCGCCCATAGAACTCCTCGCTTCTATTTTAAATTAGAGTGGTGTTACAGGCACACTGTGAACCACATCTTCAACCACAATCTCTCTCTCTCTCTACAGTGCAGTGGGGCCCACACATGAATTTTTTTTTAAATCATGTGTGGGCCCCAGTGCACTGTAGAGAGAAAGAGATTGTGGTTTGTGGTGTGGTTCACAGTGTGCCTGTAACATTTTCCTTTAAATTATCATTAGATCTCCCTCACAAAGCTTGCATAGAGCCATATTGCTTTTCTCCATACCGTTCCCTCAAATCTTTCCTATTTTAAATTATCCGGTCCCCCAAAACCTTTTTTTTTTTTGAAATTAACCCCCTAAATCTTTCGTACTTGAAATTAGTCCCCCCACATCATCATTTTTTGCTATCAGCCTCCCCAAATCTTTGAAGTACTTGAAATTGCCTTTAGTTCAATTTGCCATATGAATTGTTAACCGCGGTTGAGTAGTGTTTAATTAGGTATGGCAGCTATTTAATCAATCGAAATTTAAAACGAGATATATATTTTCATGCGATTTTACAAAATGTTATGATGAAATTTTGAAATGAGGCTCCTCCATAAATTTTTCATTAAGAAATAAATATGTGAAATGAATTTTCTCTGATCATGTCTTTCTGTAATTAATATACAAATTAATGCGATAGTTATAATATTTTTATTTTTATTTTGTTTTTATTATTTGAAATAAGTTTAATGTTATAATTTATAGTTTATTGTCAATTTGTCAAGTCTTCAAAAAGATTATGATTTGTAGTTGTGATCATGGGGAAAAAACGACTAGAAGTGATACATTTTTTTAAAAAAAACTTGGAAGATTCAAGTATGTTGATTCAACGATGGGTGCTTATGCAGAAATGATTTAGGTATTCACGAAAAATCTCTCTTTTTTCAAATTCTTTTTTATACTTTGGGTTTTTTCAACTACTTATAATATGAAAGTTAACTATATATTATCATATTTAATTGCTTTTTTGTTAATACATTAGGGTAGGGTTTGTTTGTTGAACTGGGATCATATTGTCAGGTGATTAGACTCCAATTTTGTTTTGCTGATTACATACTTGCAATGTTAAATTTTGGTGCACAAATGACTCATGGATGAGGGTGACATGATTCATTCACTCTCCTATTGTGGTATATTTCAGATGAGAACATTTATTTACCAAATAATATTGCGAGAAGTACCTGATTTCTTTATCCAACATTTCTTACGTTTTGAGTTTGAGGCCAATATAAAAAAATATTGAATTGTAGAAATCTAGTTATCATCAATCCAACTCGGTGAATGAACATGGTGACCTAAACTAAAAGTCCACAAATTTCTGAACGCAAATCAATCCCCATCATAAGAAAGAAAGAAAGGGAGAAAAAACCCAGCCGTTGGGACGCTTATCATATAACCACTCATAAATTTCAAAATATTAGAGGCGATCCCTTAAGTTTAGGGGTAATCAGAGAACCCCCTTTCACTATAAGATCTTATCAGAAAACCCTCCTGATAACGTTGATCACATTTTTCACATGGATGGGTAAATTTCCCAGACGATACTTATGCTAATAGTACCCAAAATAAAGGGTTTTTGTATTTTAAAAGGTATGAGGGGTTATCTGATAATCATCCAAAAGTTAATTGTTTTCCCCCCCCGATACTTGGTCCTAAACTAACTATGCGGTTTGTTTCTACCACAAGAAAGCCCAGTGCATTAATAGCTAATGAAAGCATTCCAATCGGCACGCCCGGCCCATTTACAACCACAAACGGGTCACCTTTCGGCGAGTCATAACCCGCATTGGGGTTGTCCCCGATTGGGTCATTTCGATTCGACCCGAAACCTCCGTAAAACCCTAGCTGCCGCTCTGACGAACAAAATCCTCTCAGCCCCTCGCGCCAAATTCCGCTCTCAATCTCCTTCAAATGGACTCAAAACCCGATCCCCATCTTTCAAACCCTAACCGCGGCCCGATCAAGCCGACGATGGAATCGGATACTCCCAAACATTCCGATGATTTCAGCTCCAGAAGCATCCAGTTGGGGCATCAAAATCCGATCTTTGAGGCGCCCGTTGATGAGAAGATGGAGAAAGTGAGTTTGATCGAGTCCAAAATGGATCCTAACTGTACAGTGGACGATGTTGGGTACGTTGGGCTTCTAGGAGAAGTGAAGGATGATGGAGTTGGTGATGGGGTAAAGGAAGCGAAATCGATTGGTGAGGAAATCGGTGAGGATTCTTCTAGTGAGAGTTCATCTTCGTCTCTTCTCCGAGTAGCAGTGATGAGGATGAAGAATCTTCGAGCATCAGTGAGGAAAGATGACGACGACAATGAAGGCAATGAGATTGGGGAGGAAATTGGAGCTGAAGAGGGGGAGGAAAATGGTGAAGACATAGAGGACGCGGTCTCGGGCAGCAGCGACGGAGAAGGGGCGGTTCCAAAAGGACCCATCAAATCAAAACACGAGATCGAGGTATAAATGGTTGGAAAGAGGAATTCGATCAGCCCTTTGTTTCTTGAGTATTTTGTTTTGTGCATAAATTAAATGCACTACAGTTTTAGTAGGATAACCGGTGACATTATAATTTCTTAATTTCGAGGAGCTGTATGTTTATTGTCAATGAATGATTTTTCATAGTTGTAATTTGGTTTTCTTACATAACTTTAACTCCAGCTGAAGTTGTCCTAAATTTTGACTAACATTCAATTGTATGCTTTGTTTCATACAAGAAGAGGTTCACATCATTGATCTCAAATAAGATCTCTTATGCAATTCTCCAACTCATATTCTCTCAAGTGTTCCCTTGTTCTCACATAAAATCATCCTGGTTTTTCTTACGATTTTAGCATAAATGACATCTTTGCTATTTGGATTTAATGCCACCCACCAAAGCAATACATTGCAATTAGCATGTGTATATTATCCTCTTGTACGCTTTTGAACTTATTGTTCACTGAATTATTGTCGTTATAGGATCTCCCTCCGGTCCCTTTGGTTGAATTATCTCTGGAACAACACCACCAGACATTGCCAGTCGGATTTGTTTCATCTGTAAGTCTTTGGGAGCCTGTTATACGTCATTTTGCTTTTATTTTTCTGGTTAGTTATGTTTATGAAGCATGATATATCTTTCCCAGATTCTAACCGTATACCTTGACCATAAGACTTTGCGCTGCTTTCCTGAGTGATTATGCACATAGATATCACATAATTTAACGCCCTAACATGTGATAAACTAGATAACATGTTTCATATCAAGCTCATGCCGGGTACTGACCTGTCCTCTAAGCTAATAGGTTTTCAAGCTTCTATGGGTGTTCGAGGCTCTCGTTGTGATCTCCATGGCATGCCAATTGTGTTACTATTATGAGCATTGTGTTGTTCATATACTGACCTCTTGTAATGGTGAAGGCAGAAGGAAGCTGCTTCCTTGTCTTCTTTTCAATTCTCATATCCATATTTCTATCAAGGCTTCTTACAATCAATTTTAATATTTGATTCCATTGTTTCTCTTACTTCTTACAGTCTGACAAAGTATCTGTTTCTATTGTCTTTCTCCTTTTCCTCCAGATATTGGGTAATAGAGCCATTGTGGATGGCTCAGAGCAGCATAGCCCTCTGAATGAGGGATCCATTCTATGGATTACTGAAACCAGGTTACCCTTAGGAAGAATTGATGAAATATTTGGACCCGTGAAGAACCCCTACTACATTGTCAGGTACAACTCAGAGAAGGAAGTTCCTCCAGGAATCAGCGTTGGGACCGCTATCTCATTCGTCATAGCTTTTGCCAGCCACATTCTAAATGAAAAACACCTCTATCAAAAAGGATACGATGCATCAGGCCTCGATGACGAGGAGGTCGCTGATGATGTGGAATTCTCTGATGATGAGAAAGAAGCGGAGTACAAGAGATCTCTGCGTCAGAATAAGAGAGATACAAACCATGGAAATCTGCAGGCTGGATTTAGCAAGAAGAAGGCTACTTCCAAGAGTGGTGGGTTTCACAAGGCCAAGCAACAGCCACCGGCCAATCAACCAGGTCAAGTTCGTGCATCTCCAGCTGCGGCGAAATTTGGATGCGGGTCTAATCTCAACTTTGCTTATGGGGCTGCAAATTTAGGTAGCATGGCTCCCTCTCGAACATTGGAGCCGGCTTTTCCCCCTCAACCCCAGAATATGGCCATACAAGGAGGACTTCCAATGAATTGGTTAGCAGCTCACCAGTTTGGAAATCAGGTTTACAATCTCCAACACGAGAATCAGTTCTTTAACAATTTCCCTAGTGGAATAATGCCATATCATCATCAGCACCTTGTTCTTAATGCTGGAGTCCTTCCTACCAACTTCTCGGCTCTTGTTGGGCTCATGAGCCAAGGTGGGTTGGGTCAAGTCCCATTTGGGTGTGACCCTCATTGCTCCATGGCGCTGAGCAGTGAGCAGAGTTATGTGCAGGCACCACTGTTTGTCAACCAAGGTGAGATGAGGCCTCCTTCGATGCAGTATAATGGTGAGCAGTTTAATCATGGGAGTTCGTCCTCTAGGGGAAGACTGCCTCATCATAGAGGAGGACATCACTCCTTTGGCCACCGAGGAGATAGTCATT